TCTGGAGTTTTGATATGTAAGTAACTATCCACGCCCAGTGGCGGCTCCTGCCAAATCTCTCAGGGGGGGGCAGTTGTTGCGATGATGGCTAAGGTGACCGTTCAATGGTCTAAGTCTGCTATAAGACAAGGATTATTCCTTAAGCTACATACTGTACAGTATTTGTGAACAGCTACATACTGAAGTTCATTGTAGAAAGTGGTAGAAAAATATCCCCTGCCTTTCCCGGCTTGGCAGTGCGTCGCCCAGTCGCCCTAATGAACAAGCCGCCCCTGATCACACTATTCAGTTTGAAAGAGCAACAGTGTAACTTCATCACTCACTCAGTAAGGGACAGGCTTACGCATTTATAGGGCTGGTCACGCGGTAAACTTATGGTACACAAGTGAGGAATGAATCAGGAAGGGCCTGAATTAATTGAGATACTATATTAATCAATCTTTACACAATGCTTAGTTCCAAAATATCTGTCAATACTGACCACTCTCTTGAGTAGTTCCTGCTAAACTCAGAACCAGCCACAGTGCAGCACACCACTAGTAACGACTTATAACTTACTCATTAATAAATGGTTTAGTGTGTCAGTTTTAGTGGCATCTAGTGTTGAGGGTTGCGAATTGCAACAAATGGCTCACTGTGCATTCACTTGCTTCTTGGAAGAAATAAGCACTTTATACTAAATGTAGTAATTCAAATGGCAATTGTAAATTCAGCAGTAAAGAACTAACTAACTTTGTACTTTTCCTCCATGACGTTGTACATTATATCCATTTAATTTCTAAATCCAGCAACAAAAAGGCAGTGAAAACTATCAACATATGGTCCTCTTTAAATATCTTTATATAATATAGACTACCCCCCTAGTATTATTATTTGTGTCTTTCTATATATTTGCATACTGTTCTGTATACTTCTTTATATCCCATGTTCACTTTATTCTTCTTTTTGCAATAAAGATTTAAGACAAATCCGATTAGTCCCACACCACACGAATGCACCATCAGTTACTGCTCACCCTTCCATTATCAAGTGCAAATGAGAAGCTACAGTGGCCGCCATGCACTGTCGACTGTTGTGCTTAATAATACGTGTGGTCCTCCATTTGTCCAAATTTCACTTCTCTTCCTACTTCTAATGAACTAGACTGCTACTACTACTTATTCCTTATTTTCATATGTATTCAACGAAGTGATGAAACGTGCTGTGTAGAGTAGTTTGTCTGTTTTGGCTACTGCAGACACATGGCAGAGCAGCATGGTGATGTCCATGTGTATGTAGATAGAAATGGCTCATTCTAAGGTTCATTATGAAAGCTTTATACACCACTGAAAACATAGTTGTATGTATTATTATGCATTTCTGTCAATAGATCCTCCTTGACAATGAATTAATTATCAGGTGTTTCCTGATTCCTTCTTTAGTAACTTCACACATTATGTGTACCGCATGATAAAGTGTTACCGGCCTCCCTTTGCTGTGGTCCATCCAAAAAAATAGTTCCAGATAAAAGGATGCATGAAATGTGAGAAACCATCCTAGTCCAGCTTCAGCTACCTGGAGGCCATGCCTATCCTGTTAAATAAGATTATGTTTGATAATTAACGGCTTTCATAGATGAGCTGTGATTGCATTGCAAGCCTTTTTTAATTAGAGACAAGAGAAGTGCTCCAGGAAGCAGGCTGCTTTGTCTAATCCATCCCCTATGAAGAAAAGCTGCATGTCGAAGGAAGAGGTGAAAGAAATGGGTTTACATATGTCATTATACGTTTTATGAAATCAAATAAACTTCAGACATGGTTTTCACTGAAATAAGAGTGATTACGAGCTTGACATTCAATAAGGTTTTCTCTGCATTCTCATCTGTGTTTCTCATTCGTGTTTCTCATCTGTGGCAACGATTAAAATTTTTAATCCGATTAATCGCGTGATTTTCTTGCAATTAATCGCAATTCATTTTGAATAATGAAAAACTGAATAATGAATTTAAAGTAGTGTATTGCGCAATTTTAATTTAAATGTACTGCTATATACACAAAAGTGCAATAACATGGTTTGCAAACACTTTAAACAAAGTGTTCTATCTCCACAGGCTCCGCCCTCTACTGGACTCTATGGGTACTACCTCCTCCAATCGCACTTACCCACTTAAAATATTATCGTGCACGTAGCCAACCAATAGGACATCACTACCGATACGTGCGTGACGTATAAATAGCAGTGTCCCTACTGCCTCAGCATCCTTTTTCTTCAGCAAACGGGGAACTGTTCATTAAATTCACTACCTCCACGGATGGAGTCGCCACTTCTAGAAAATTATCTTTGTACCCGGGCGAGGTGACCCATGTCCTGCCCGGACGAGTCCAGGCCCCTCCGCCAGCCGCATAATTCACATAATTACAAATGAGTTACCTGGGAACGTTAATGGTTCTTCCAGTTTAAATAAAGGTTTAAAATTAAATGAAAGCCATGGCGCTGCTGTAAACCCACTGACATGGCTGGTTGTAATTACACCTGATTAGCATACTCATTTGCATACACGGGAAGAAGACTGGAACTGATTGGGTGTTAGTGCTCAAGGCTTTGTTTGTACTTAAGTTTGGGTTGTTTGTCCAACATCCACACACTCACAGACACACATATCACCCCTCAGGATAAAAAACCCCCACACATGCTCACTCACAAATCTACATAAGCATACCTGGAAGCCTCTCTGTTCCATAGTGAAACACACAGTTTGAAGGTTTTAAGTTATTTCCTTGTTCAAGTAAACATCAGCTGTCCACATATCTCATCTCTGCCGCACCTAAAGGTGACTGTTAATCTTTTAGAGGTACAGGATCAACAATAACACCTTCAATGTGGAGTGCAAATTGGGCAACGAGGAAGACAAACTCTGATGGTAAGAAAGTGAATTACTACTGGCAGAAATACCTGTCACTAGATAAATGCACTGGAGGTGAATCACAGCCTGAACCTATGGTCGCTACACATTCCCTTGGTCACTTTTTGGTGACTTAAAGTTGTAATCCTTAAGAATTCAGCCTGAGTTGTTGGAGACCTGTGGTTACTGAAGGAAACATTTCTCTATGCAAGTTAACTTTCTCAAAACTCTTCACATAGTCAGCACAACAGAAGTCAATGTGGACTAAACTGTGGATCACTTTTTATTGCTTTATATACAGTCATGGACATCATAAGGCTTATTTCAGGAGGGCTGAAGCCCCCAAATGGTCCTAAGCCCCACAATTTAAATTTAAAATCAATAAAGGAAATGGGCTGTTTTGTTTTCTTCTAACAACAGGCATTTGTTGGCAGGTCTAGGCACCAAGGCAAAGCCTAAACTAAATCATTTCATGATATTTATTATATTTGCTATATTCTGATAAATTAAATAAATATGTAGATGTTGCCTAAATTTAGGCTAGGCTATAACTTAATAGGATCTTAGGACACTTAATAGGATCCTTATCACAATTCTTTGTCATCAGAAAGAGTGTGAAATCATCTGGTATACAATTTCAACAACTCAATAAGAAATGATAAAACTCAGCAATCAATATCAATTAATTTGATATATCAAACCAAATGTGCATATAGAAATGTTCAAATGTAGGTGAAATTATTAGGTCTGGACACGTTAACGCAATAATAACACGTCAATGCGTTCAGTAACGCAGCATTACTTGGATTAGTAACTGTAATATATTACTGTTTTAGAAAAGTAATCTGTTACACTACAGTGTAACGTAATAATATTACAGTAACGCGTTACAGTGAAAAGCATCTGCCAAATGAATAAATGTAAAAGTAAATGTATAGATATACATTTATAGGAACGCATGTTTTGACCCTCATTGTGTAAGGACCCATGGTTTTAGGAAGGAGTAAGTGGAAGGAAGGCAGCATCAGGACCTGCCTGTGGCATAGGTGACGTAGGCGGTTGTCTAGGGTGAGGTAAGAGAAAGTTTTTGACTCAGGGCTTTATCAACCCAGTTAATGCGACACCGGCGTACACCTTGAGTTTTGAAAGATAAACATCTAAAAACTGAGGCGCAGCCTTGCTCTGTTTGGGACTGTGAGCTGCACTTTATAAGAGGTGCTGAAGTTAAGGTGTGTAGATTTGCAGTGAGATTTCTGCCTGATCAGTAGTGTTGTTGGTTCGTTTCGGTTTCACATGCAACATGTAGTCCCAAACTGTGTCGGTGAAATGGTCTGAAGGGGTTACTTCCAATGGAGAAATAACGTAGCCCAATGAACTGTAGAGTATAGAGCAGGTAGACTCGCCTTGGGCACCGGCGCTGTCAGGGCCCTGGGCAGCATTACAGATATTATATCACCGTGGTGATATGATAACTGATTCATCTGAGGAAAACACTTGTTCATTTGAACAACTTCCTCTGAGAAGTTGAATCATGACCACAGGCAAATATTACGTAAACCATTTAAATTAGATTATTTCATATTAAAGTGCATGGCTATCAATGGTGAAATCAAGCAGTTATTTTCAATTCCGGGAAAAGCTGACTGTGTTGCAGCATTCGTGGGAAAATGACAAGATGAAATGGCATAATTACTATGCACAAATGCCCGGCGTGTAATAGCAGCTACAATAGTTGGGTATAATATCATGCTCATATGGATATGCTTGGATGAATCTCATATGGTTTTCTCCCAAAGAAATAATTTCTTCTTATTTCATATTTCTTCAAGGATCACTGGCTTTCAATTAAGTACTCTGTTTTGTCTAAAAACAAAGCATGGGATATCTGTCTCTGTCACGATGGGTGGCTGGCTATTTGTCTCAGACACACCTGTGCACACACTGCAATAACACATTCCATCAACTTGCTATCAAACAGGTGCCTCCCTATTTATATGACCTCCAGCACTCGGACCCTTTATTCCAGCTCATCACACACACACACACGCGCACACACACACACACACAAACACACACACACACACACACACACACACACACACACAGCAGCAGTACTCACGTAGCTGATGCATGTCCTTCCAGGACCTGCTGGCAGGACAGGCAGTGATGGTGACCACCGGACAAGAGTTTTCAGCCAAAGTGGTACAAAGAATCTGCTCCCGGAAAAAAAACATGGCAGGATCCACTGATTTCTGCAGCACCTTCAGATGAGCCTGGCAGATACAATAAATATACAAGTGTCTCAAGTAGACATGTAGGTTCTGATGTGTATATTACATGCATTTACAGTGCAGTCATAGTCAAGTATAAAAACAGTGACATGTTTTCAATTGGAATGGCTCTGTATTCACTGGATTTAACATGAAACAGGGACTGTGATATTATGTGGTTGTTTAAAGGTACATCTTATTGGATAAACAACGTAAACTCTGTTTCCTAAATACTGTTTATATAAACTAATTTGCTGTACCAAATAAATTTTGAAGGAACTATAATGGCTGTTAACTGCTCTGGGAATCACACCAATATCATGCTTAAACAAGTGTGTCTGAGAAGGAACATCAACAAACAGTCTTTTATTGGATTCAATTAACTCAACCAAGTCTGAGACAAACAAGCAGGAAGGTTTAGCAAGATCCCAGAGTTTGACAAGTTGGGTCAAAGCCACAGATAGAACCCTGTCACTTACTTCAACACCGTACAGCTCCCTTGAGACTTTAGCTTCTATAACACGCATGTTCCCTATCACAGTAAGATTTTAACATTAATATGACAGAGATAATGTACGATCTACATCAGTTATTGGGAGTGGCTACAAGATAATCTCCAAGTCTTTATCAGCAACCTTTTGCTGGACCAAACAGTCCACTGTGGCGAGTCTGCAAGCTAGACCGAGGAATCAGCAGCAACTCCAAGCTTATCACCAGGCAGGAATTCTCTGCTTTGAATGTGCTTATCAAACCATCTTTTCATTCTGGCCTGCACTGCTTCAAGATAATCCCTGGCAATTTCACAAGCACAGTGTAGTTTGAATCTGAAGCTACACACATAGTCCAACAAGTTTTGAGGGGGTTTAAATGTTTGCTATAAGGGAGGTGCCCTTATAGCAAACATTTGATCCCCCTCATCCCAGTCATTTTGAAACTCCAGGCAATAACATTTATTGTCTGGAAAAAGCAGTAAAGTGTGCCCTTAGTTGCAAGGTATCTCAAGGTATACTGGCACTTCCAGTCTGCCTTCTCGTACACCATCATTGGTCAGTCATATACATGCCCTTCACCCTAACATCTCAGTCAAAACCCTCAGCACCACAACAACGGGCAAGAGACAGAGCAGCAGCTTGCTTGTCAACAGTGGCACATGGGGCCTGAACAGCTTAAAAAATGTCCAAATCTAAAGTAAAATCACAGATGAATTACAGAAAGAATTCCTAGGCGAGGTCCAAGTGAATTTTTGTGGTAGGATTATAATTAAGAAGTTCAACATTAGGGGAGGGCAGAGTTTCATGTGTAAATCAGGAGGTTGAACACAGAGATGTAGCTGTTCCTGCAGGTCAGGGGAGACAAAAAGTCACAGAATGCATCCAAAATCCAGAGCAGCACATAGGACGAGACCGAGGTGCTGGCTGTTAAAACTAAACTGCTGTCAACCTAAACAAGGGTGGCTGTGGCTCAGGAGGTAGAGCAGGTTGCCTGTTAATCGGAAGGTTGGAGGTTCAATCCCCGGCTCCTCCAGGCTGCGTGTCGAAGTGTCCGTGGGCAAGATACTGAACCCCGAATTGCCCCTGGCGGCTGTTCCGTCAGTGTGTGAATGTGTGCGAATGTTAGTTTCTGTTTGGGCACATGGGCTCAGTGTATGAATGTGTGTGATGTCATTTAGTGTGAATGCAGATGCATTGTAAAACTGCTTTGAGTGGTTAAAAAGACTAGAAAGGCACTATACAAATACAAAGCATTACTTATTTACATTATTAATCAGAGCATTCAAAATATATCATTCAAAATCAGCAGGGGAGGCACGTAGAAACAGCTATTTCTCTCTCTCTCTTTCTCTCTTTCCCCTCCTTCACTTCCACATTTCGTCTCTTCTGTTGTGGGTCGCCGCTACAATGGATGAAAATGGAATTAGGCCTAAGTTCTATTTACAACCACGAAAAGTGAGCAGGCAAAGAAACCAAACTAAGTTACATGTTCTGACTTTCTATATATAGATCTCCTCCGCTCCATTTCAGTACTGTGGCGCCGCACCTATACACCCATAAGTAGCACAAAAGGAAGCACAACTTCTAATTATACATCATTGTGGAGCAAAATGATAAATCAATCTACCTTGTATATTATCAATCTGTAATTTATTTTCTTTAAGCATTTAGCCTGTTGCTCTCCTCTTTAGCTTTGGCTACACAACATTGATTTAATACAGTCTATCTTTAAGACAGTCTATGTCTTAGTTATAATTATAGTTAAATAGTCAAAGTGGGAATTCAAACTGTTTGTCTTGGCTGACTCACAGAATGGCTACACAGTGGACTTTTTACACCAGCAAAAGCGACATCCCCTCTGGACATGGCCTGCCTTATGATGTTGTGACGTAGCTGGTGCAACCAGGTTACCTTTACATGGACAATTTTTATTCCAACCCCAAGCTCTTTAGGTTGCACAAAGAAAGATCTTTGCCCTGTAGCAGACCACTATGGTATTAACAATCAAGGCAATTTAAGAAAAGAAGAAGTGCTTACAAAAATTATAAATGGTTTAGTTGAGCAGGCGTGCCGTGTGAAAAGTTTTAGTTGCCCACTGAGCATATGAGATATATCCTCTGAGGGAGACCGGAACGAGCAGGAAAAAGTTCAAAACAAAGTTTCAGGGCTGAGGGAGTTAGAGCTAAAGTTGCATTTGGGGAGACTAAAACTAGAGATTGAGGCAAAGGAAAGGGAGCAGGTAAGGCAGTAGGAGTGGGAGTGGGAAAAACTGAGGCTTGCACATGAACTTAAGGAGATTGTCAGGGGTAAATGTAAATGCTCTGTACTTGTATAGCGCCTTTCTAGTCTTTTCGACCACTCAAAGTGCTTTTACACTACATCTGCATTCACCATTCACACACTGAGCCTAAGTGCTCAAACAGAAACTAACATTCACACACATTCATACACTGGTGGAACAGCTGCCAAGGGTTCAGTATCTTGTTCATTTTTTGATCAAAATGATTGCTAGGGACAATTCAGTAGTGTAAATAGGTAGGGACAGTATCTCTACTATCCCTACCTATTTATATGCCCTTATTACAGTTTTTCTCACTCGCTTTAATATATTTCTCAGATCAGAATTGAAATTTTCAAAACTAATTGTTCAACCTCCACATCATCTTGTTACTTGTGCACATCATAAAAGCACAAACTGCAAATGACTTGACACACTGATGCAAATGATTATGTACAATTGTCTGCTGTTTCCTACATTATCAATTGCTTATGTCCTGCTGATCACAATGAATTATACCAGTCTCTGTTGAATAATCTTACCCCCCAAAACATCTAGGCTAAGTTCATTGCATTTGTCACTACATGCAAAATGGTTGAACATGTTATCAAAAATCAAAGTTAAAATACTTTATTCATATCCTTTGCCTACAAGTATATAGTTAAACGAAATGTTGTTTCTTAAGGACCATAAACAAAGTAAGAATAGACCACAACAACATCACAATAGCAACACTCATATCAATACTCAATACCAGTAAACAGTAACAATACACAGTCAGCAGTAATATATATAGACAGACATTCCATACATGTCTATTAGAATTTCTTTGTAAATGTGTAAACCTGAATTGATGAAGATATCTGTTGTGATGTGGAAGAGAATCTGGGATACAAAAGACCGGAACGTCAGCCAAAGGGGTGTATCCCATGCAGCAGTCCTGTCTCTTTTAACAAATTACAGTACGAACAGTAAAAGCATAGCTGTGATTCCTGTTCTCTCTCCTGCAATGTATAACTTTGTACTGGTGAAAGTGATATATGCCATACAAAAAAAGTGCAGCCTTGTGCATTTTCAATCATTGTCATCAAAATCTTAGCCAAAATGTAGATTGTTATATCTGTCTATCATATTTTCTACACATGTCTTTAGACTTTTTTTTGTAAATGTCTCCTTACTGTAACTGATAAAGATATCCATTGTGAACAGGAACATCAGCCTAAGGAGTGTTTCACATGCTTACATTTCTAATTTTGAAATTTCTTCGATTGTGCTATGCAGTGCTGTAAAATAGTCCTTTCTTTTTCTTTTCTGTATCAGTACGAACAGTAAAAACATAACTGTGAATCCTTTCTAATCTCTTGCAATGTATGTAACTTTATACTGTTGAAATTCATATGCCAGATTGAAAAAGTGCGGCCTTGTGCATTTTTAATCATTGTCATCAAAACGTAATGTTACAGTTTACTACAGAGTACACTGTTATATTGATAACATGACTAAACGTTTTGACTATCTTGTTCGTAAACAATGACACAAGGATTTGTCATTTTGATGCACTGTCATGTTCAGTGACATAAAGATTTGCTTTTGAGAGAAAGACTAAGGATTTTGAGCAAGTTACGGGCTTTTGCTGGAAATCCACTATGTTGTGCTGCTTGTTCGATATGTTTCGAGAAATGCACTCACCGTTTCGCAAATGTTAGGGATGATTTGAGAAATGTACCAAAGTGAGGGAGGAAAGCTGTAATAGGAGAGGAAGTTGCTATGAAGGACTGCATATGACCTTTTCCAGTAGCTCAGGCAGCTATCCCAATATGATTATCCCTAAAGCATATATGAACGTAATCTTTACAACATAAAGAATTATTGTGGCAGTAAGTTGTTGAATGAAGTAGGGTAAGCCTACATAAAGAGGGACACCTGTCACACACCAACAGGACAGTTTGCTTCTCAAAAATGACTGTTTCCTGAATAAATAACAACTGGTAGCCAACTGAGTAAAAGCCAAGATCAGTTTCACAGCAACATTTTATTTAATAAATTCACCATGGGCTTCGATAGAAAACAAATAGTTACCATTTCAAATTAGAGAACAGAAATAATTAAATAAAGGAAAACAAAGTATTTCTGCCGGCTTGTGAAAGGGCGATGCAGACTGCCTTCCAACACGCTCAGCAGCGGCAGAGTGTGCAGTTACTGGATTTCCGTTACATCAGTAGAACAACCAAACCTTAAACTGAAAAGGTATTGCCTGGTTTCCTTTGTTGTTGCATGTTGTTGCATGTTTTGCGTCTGCCCAGCTCATTAACATCTGGAAAAGCTCTCCTGTGTAACCTTGGGTGCAGCTTGGATAGCAGCTCATTTCGGCTAATGCAGCAAACTGCATAGTAGACACCAGACTAGCATGAAGGTATAAATGGTGACTGTAGCGAGTTAAGTTAAAAGTAGATTACACTTTTTTACTAATTTTTGTTACTTGTAACAAGTTACTACTCTAGCTCTGAGAATAATAACAAGTCAGACAGAGACAGACAGACAGATAGATTCCAATTTGTACTAGAACCAATAATTCTATATGGCAGTGAAATATGGGGGCCAAAACTTAATAATGAGTTTGACAAATGGGACAAAACAATCATAGACTCTTTCCTTAACGAGTTCTGTAAGAGCATCCTGCAGGTGCAGAGAAAAAAGCAAATAATCTGTGCAGAGCAGAGCTCGGCCAATACCCCCTCTTACTAAAAATACAGAAAAGATCAATTAAATTTTACAATCACTTAAAATCAGTTAACCCTCAGACATACCATCACAAAGCCCTAACATACCAGGAGCTAAAACCAGAGAAGAGTCCCCAGCAGCCAGCTGGTCCTGAGGCTCTCTGCAGTAACATCCACATTAAGTCTACATTATCAACAAGCAAAAAGAAAATATATTGAATACTGGAAAGGAATGACCAAAACACAAAGTAAATTACAACAGACACAGACACAAGAGGACAGACTCTGCTCCCACTGTGACACAGGACAGGTAGAGACAGAGCTGAACTTTCTAACCTCATGCCCTAAGTATAAAACACTAACATTTCCCAAATATACCCTGAATTCTAAAATATCAGACACATCAAACTCCCCTATTTACTGGGAGAAATAATTGCTGCAAAATATATCTCCTCATGCCACGAACTGAGGACAACTGAGGAAAGAAATTTTACTAATTTTCAAATTATTATTATTTTGATTGTTTGATATTTTAGTAATTGTTTTGTTTTTAAATTTCATATTTGATACTGATTTTTTTAGTTGTTTTTTAAAATTAATGAATGAATGAATTATTTTTGTCTATTAATTCACACACACACACACACACACACGTTTACGGTTTTATCTATTTATTTAAATTTTTATATATATATTATATATACATTTTTTTTGTTTTATTTTATTTTTTCATATATTTTCATTATTTTTTTAACACACACTTACGCTTACTGTTTTATTTATTTACTTATTTAATGAAATGTATGAAATTAATTGTTCTTATGTAATTTCTATATAGCTTTGGCAATATTGTTGTTATACATTCATGCCAATAAAGCTGATTTGAAGTAGATAGATAGATAGATAGATAGATAGATAGATAGATAGAGAGATAGAGAGATAAATCCGTACCTTTAGGGCAGAGTATGTGTAGGGATAATGGTAGGCCAGGTAGCAGACGTCTTCATTGTGTTTGAAGGAGATGGTAAAGGTCAGAGTATAAAAGGTTGTTCTCCTTCTACCCCGAGCTGGACAAAAGTGATTTCTAGAGGGAAAAAACAAGACAATCTTTGTGTAGATTAAAGATCTCTGGCAGTGTTACTATCTATGCAAGTATTTTTCTCTTCTGACGTCACTTCTCATTCGAACAGTGTGAGAGCCTTTGTGAGCGCTTTGTCAATGAACTTTCTCTTTAGAAAGCTAGTTAGTTACAGATTGAGCCTCTGTAGGTGAATCAGTGTTAATGTTGCATCATCTTATATAATTCAGTTATGACTTGACATTGTAGTCATTCAGTGTGTTTCCTGAAGAAGAGAACAAAACAAATTTTTCATTGAATCTGTGTATTTCATTCATACCTGAAATAACAAATTTCAGTTCCGCTCCTAACCCAGTGAGGTCTACCTTCCAGAGCTTCTCTTACTGAGTACAGCACAGGCTGCATTCCTGCAGTAAACAAACACACACACACAGACACACACATTGATAGACAGTTAGCCACAGCGAATAGATGTGATGTCACAGCGGCCTATAACGCTGCAGTTGTGTGTTCACTCTGCTTTGCACTGGTGCTGGATGTGACTATATTCTATAGTATTATTCTTTAAACTATATAATTATAAATTTTCTTCTCTAATGTAAAAATTTATATAAAGAAATGTATTTATTTATTAATTTTAATTTTGTTGGGACATTTAACAAATGCCACAGACCAGAGTACCATACAGTACAGCACAAGCTAGTTTGCAGTGCATGTCCCTAGATATGCCTTTATACAAAGACACACAGAAATCTAAACACAAACATACAAAACAGCACAAAACAAACAATTACACAATAAAATGGCCTTAAAGCTAAAAATAAAAAATTTTAGTAAGTAAGGACTTCCACACACAGATGCTTGTCAAAGCAAGAATTTACTAAAGGGCACCTTACAGTTTACCATAGGTGAACCTGTCAGAACTTAACATATCTAATTTCTTAAGAATATGCCAGTGGTGAGGTCAGCTTCCTGTCCAAATTTCGGCTTGATCATATACCATCATACGGCTTGAGTGTAGATGCTGGTTATGACCAACACCTGACAGTTGAATCGTGGAATGCATCAATCCTTTTGCAGCATAAAATGGTAGACAATCTCTAATGAGTCTAAATGTATGTATCTTTTTGCAACCACTCAATAATATAAAGTATGTTAAGCTTCCTGTAAAATCACTAAAGTATGGTGATGTTATAGTTATACTGTAGTGTTTATATAGCATTGCTATAGTATTTCCTATAGTGTTTCTTTGTTTTGTCAGGAATTTACTATAGTTAAACTGTGTTGTTTATACAGTGATATTGTAGTGTATTATATGTTTTTTTTTCCGGATGCACTATAGAAAGTTACAGTAGTAAGTATACATTTACTATAACATCATCATAGTAGCATTATAGGAACATACTATAGTGTGTTCAAAAAACCAACCACAGACACACTATATAATATACTATAGTAATACTATTTAAAATAATACAGGAATACTACAAAGAGCTAGATACATAGTATTACTATTGAAAAACATAGGGATACTATAGCTAATACAATAGCACCACAGAAAAACACTATTGCATCACTATACAATTCTTACAATTCTCATAGTATCCTATAGTAATACTATGGTTAATTTTTTTAAGGGTGGTGGTTTAAGGGTTGGCACACTTTTCACCCTGCTGTAATACATGTTAGAACAGAAAATGAAAGGTTAAGGTCTCTGCTATAAATAGATATTTTTATATTTACAAATGTCTCAAAAATGAGGGGATTCGTGATTAAAGTCACGTTGTGCATTTGACAGAATTAACACAATTATTTTCTGGCCCTAGTAAGATCACAGAAACAAAAATGTAGCTACAAAATATTTGCTTTGTTAAGCAAAAATGTCATTGCTTTAGCAATAGTATATAGTACTGATTGATAGTAATTTATTTAAGTTGAATTCCGGATATATACCATAATTAATGCAAACTTAAACCCTAACGTCTTTTTTGTTATTTCTTTAGAGGAAGGGTGACTATTTCAGAGTTGTTGACCAGTTGTCCTTTCAGGACCTTAGAGCTGAAAACTTGAAACTAGTGTGAATTTGGGATACCTTGAGCAAACTTTGCATGCTTGCATGGTTGATGTGAAAGATGGGTAAGATACAAAGCGCTGTGAGATAACTGTTGTTGTGATTTGGCGCTATATAAATAAAATTGAACTGAATTGAATACATACCATGTAATTAAGTCCTGCCTTGGTCCTCCATTATGTTTCCTGTCACTCTCTGTCAATTATGGTTGACCTTCTAGCTAAGACACAAGTCTTTTTTTGTGCTGCATTTAGCCTTTGGGCTAGAAAAGTTAAAGAGCCACGGTTCCTATTGAATCAAACAGCATCAGATCGCCAGAGGTAAAAATAGACTTTGTAGCCTGTCAGCACATTACAATCTTTCAGAAGAAAAAACATTTTCTTTACAATGGGATACAGACTATTTTAAAAGAGCAAGCCCTTCTTCTACTCCTTCACTTCTTCCTGAGATGAAACCAATTTCCTGAGGGACATTAAAAAGAGCTATTTTCCGGTACAAAGGGCATTATATGAATTTTGTGTAGTATGTGTGTATGAAAGAACTGCAATTGCTACTGGAGAAACTGAGTGTTTTGCAATCCTTTTGTCTGTGTGTGTATTTAGCTGTAATGGATGGTCTATTATGGTAGGACCCACTGCTGAGCCTGTAGAGCAGTCTTTGGGAAGGGAAAGTATAAGAGCAGCAAAAAGACAGCAAGAGGTCTGATTCATCAACCCCCATACTTTGTGTGTGTGTGTGTGTGTGTGTGTGTGTGTGTGTGACAGAAACTGAGCTCTGATAGAAGGGTCAGAGTGCAAAAGGCCTTATATATAAGAAAAGCCCACTGATAACTGATAGAGATTGAAGGGGGATTGTTATTTGCTGCAGGCAATAAAACACACAGCCAGAGTCTGGTGAAAGCGGTGAATCCCATTTATAGTTTTTGTTGTTTCTAATCACGTCAGCATAAGGGGTATCAAATGGATATGTAGAAACCATGCCATTGAAAGAAGACTTGGACTAAGGTATGAGTAATAATGATGCACAATTTAATTTAATTTTGTAAATCCTGTCTGACTGACATCCTTGTATTTTAAAGTTTTATCTCTGAGGTTTTTCCTTCTGCTGAATTTTATCAGCTCAGTGTGAAATTTGACTTTTGAAAATGAAGGAAGTCAAAACTGTTGTTGCTAATCTGATCGATGCTAACATGCTAACCGCAACATAAATGTTTGGGAACCAATATAATGACATAAAACATTAAAGCAATCAGCAAGACCCTGTATTCAGGTGCTGTTGTAATGTCAGCTACAAGCCAGTACTGTTTTTCTCTTCACAGCCCAATTTCTTTGGCCTATATTTGCTAACATTTAGTCAAATTGCCCCCATTAAAATAACCTGAATTAGCTGTTAGTAGTTCATGTTTGCAAAGTACTCATGAACAAACAGGCAACTATCACTGGATGTCATTATGTGTTTTGAGTTATGAATCTGAGAAGTAGTTCGATTTTTGCCTGCCGTTCAGCTCACCAGCGCCCCCTGGGAAGGCTTTTGTCTATGTCTTTTGGCTTTATCCTGCTGAATGTCATTTCGCATTTTGTTAAAATGCCATCTTGAATAATGAGGAGTTGAAATGACTAGTAGGTACAAAAAGTTTTGAAATCCAGGCAGTAGATGACTTTAGCTGCAACGTATTCCTTTGCCATGGCGCTCGTATTGACGAGTGGCAAAGAGGCATGATGACAAACAGTGGGGAATAACGTTTGAGGGGGGCAGTGGTGTACTAGGGCCCTATTTTAACGATCTAAGACCATGGCGTAGAGCGTGTGGCGCTGTTGCGTTTGGGGAGTGTCCAACTCCAATTTTGCTAGTTTAACGGCGGAAAAATGGTCAGTGCGCCAGGCACATGGTTCAAAAGGGTTGTACTTAGTCTGTGAGTCTCATCTCCCATTCCATTTAAAATGGGAAGGGGAGGAAACTGAATTCAACTTTTAGCTTCTGAAATAATTTAGAACACTCCCATGGGTGCAGAGATAGGCGCAAGTGCATTTGCTATTTAAACAACGTGGACGCTTGTAGAGATAAGCTTTGTGCTGGGTGCAATATTGGGTAGGTAGTCTCTTGTCCTGCTATGAGGCATTGTCGCGGTTAAAAAATGTACATTAACCTTTCAAATGAAGAGCGCCCTGCTTTTTTCAACTAACTGCAGATATACTTTGATAATAATAATCTCCTTGAACATTTCCAGTCTGGCTTTCAACCCAAACATAGCACTGAAACTGCCCTTGTTAAGATTACCAACAACCTCCCCCACGCAGGTGATTCTGGTCTACTGTCTATCCTCCATCCTCCTGAACCTGGCCGTAGCCTTTGATACAGTATCCCATCACCTCCTCATTAACCATTTGGCTAACATTGGCTTTGGGGCCACAGTGTATCAGTGGTTTGCCTCCAACCTTGCAGACAGGACACATTTTGTACAAATTCAGAATAACCGGTCAGAAAGCTCCAGAGTTCACCACAGAGTACCACATGGTTTAGTGTTGGGGCCACTTCTGTATATTATTTACCTACTCACTCTTGGCAATATCTTCCGACACTATGGTATCCATTTTCATTTTTATGCTATCCACTATGTCTCTATGATATACAGATACACTACTAAGACTGAGCTACTGCTCTCAAAAATAAAATCTGTTCACTCCCCAAAGCTAAAGCCATCTCCACACAGGTTAAGAGCCTTGGTGTCATCCTGGACAGTACCCTTTCTTTCTCATGTTATTTAACAATGTATCCCAGATTACCTTTTTCCATCTGTGAAACATCTTACGATTACACCCTGCTTTACCTTAACACTCCACAACAGTCTTAGTCAGTGCTTTGGTCACATCACGTATTGACGACTTCAATGCGATCCTGGCAGGCATCCCCAATAAACGTATTTACTGACTTCAACTCATCCAGAGCTCTGCAGCACGGATCATCACAACGCTCAATGTAGTGTTGTAGTTCTTCAAGCCCGGTCTTGGTCTCGAAACCAGTCTTAAGACCACTTTTATATGGTCTTGGTCTCGTCTTGGACTCGACTGCATTTGTACTCGGTCTTGTCTCGGCCTCGGACATTGAGGACTTGAGATTTTATTTCAAGACCAGTCAAGACCAAAACTTTGGGAATATCAATAAATTGATTTTGCATTGTCTGAGTTATTTGTTAACATCCTAACTTTGATTTAATGTAAAACTTATTGCAAAATCTGTTAACGACTTTCACCCCTCCCCACGATGGTAAGCGTGGAAAAAGAGTGTTGAATAAAGAAGTTGATTTCAGCTCTTAGTGTTTGTATGTGGGTGTTTTAATGGGAATGTGGATCTTTCAGATCAATTTGAGAAGTACCTATGATCTCGTTCCACATTTTATTGTGTGTCATGTAATGTGGGGAACTGGTCTTGGTCTTGACTCGGTCTCGCCGTCCTTCGGTTTTGGTATCTAATTGGTCTCAGTCTCTAACAGTCTTGGTCTTGTCTCGGTCTTGATAAACTCTGGTCTTGGTCTTGACTTCGGTTTTGGCAGTCTTGACTACAACACTAGCTCAAAGTCCATAGAACATTTATTATTGATGCTATGTTTCCTCTGATGTTATGTTTTCTTATTGTTGCTTGTTGTTTATTATATGTTTCTTGAATGTTTTTATTACTGATCTTATATGATTAAATGTATTATTCTTTAGTTATATCTATAGTTCCGCCAGCTTCACTGAAGTGTGAGCATACACTGGGGTGGTTTGCAGGTACTGTGCATTCTTTCACAATACTTTCCCCATAAAGCTCTGCAAGTCCATACTTAATTCTGAACTTGTCAGTTAGAACACTGATGTTCACCATGTTTCCAATATTGGTGAATATTAAAGTATGTGTAAGTTGTCATTTGAAATTAAATGTGTACAAGCAGTACCAAGTGAAATTAATTAATTAGTTAATAGAAAAATGTCACTTTGAATGAGGTATACAACGTTTGCAAAGGATGTCATTAATACTGTTTACACACACACACACACACACGCGCGCACACGCGCGCGCGCACACGCACGCACGCACACACACATAACCATACTCACCATAGTTGAACTGGCTGTTGCTCTTCTCACAGTTGATGACATTAAAACGGTAGGGGACGTCTGCCACCATGTTACTGACTTCAATGTAAAACCACTGGGTGTGCTGGGAACAGTTAGCATCCGCATTTAATATGAGGTCATATTCATATCTGCAAAAGAGAAGAGGAAAAAAGACATTGCTGCTGGCGTTCTGAGTTACCTACAACTTATTTTCTCCGTTTAAGGACTGTGTTGAACTAATAATGTCACATTTGCTTCTCAATTCACTTCTTTGACCTTGTGCTCATAGTGTGTGTGTCCATTTGTTCCATACCTGCGGACCTGAATAGCCTTCCTTAGGTTCCCACATTCAAACTTAGAGAAAAACTTCAAGCAATCAGAAGGACACTGAAGACTGACAGACAAAGAAGAGGACAAAGAGACAGAGATGATCAAATTAATTTTAGGGCATATAATTTAATTGTCATTTGAACAACAAAAAAAATGCCATGAAATTCATAAAAAAATAATCCCAATTTAAACCTTATCTTGTAAAATAAATTGCTTAATAAATGGTTGTGCTGTGTTTGGTTGTTCTATATTTGTGTTGTTTACCTACCTGCCATCTTCCAGGTCAAAAACTACCTGGTTGATGATGTCATCAGTTTTCAGGAAACGCTGGATATCTTCAAACACTTTCTGCCTGATGAAGACAAGCATATGTAAGCATATAAATATTAACACTGAGTATAAAGTATCCTCTTTATGGTGAAGCCGTAAGTGGTAAACCTCCTGGAGTCTACACACTGGTGGCGATGGAGAATGCTGATGATTTGGATGTGATCAGCAGTTTATTCTTGTAAGCTTGAGCTTACTGAACTGGAGGTGAATGTTCAACTCACTTGGCAAAGTGCTTCCTGATGTTGCCTCCACAAATAGTCAGGTCAATTATTTAAACTCTGTGTTTCTTAACCCTCGATCTAAGAGCCCCCTGAAGAATAGACGAAACTCAAAGACTACAAAGCAGCCCCGGTTAAATGATAGTATCAGAAGCTGCAAATGGAAATGCAGAAAAGCAGATGTAAATAATCAGGTCTCAAGGTCCACTTTGCATCTATGAAAGAGCTACTATTCCTTTACAACAGGAGGGTGAAAGATGCAAGAGCATGCTATTTGTCAAATCTAATTTTCGCTCATCAGCGCAACCCCATATTCCTTTTTAGACTGTTGATCAGCTAGTAAACCCAGCCTCTCCCTGTCCCCCTGCTGAATGTGATGCTGATTGTGAGACATTTTTATTACACTTTGTAGTTGGAATTGTTAATATCCAGCTTTTAGCCCTAACCCTGTCTTTTCAGATATCGTCGGATTAAAAGATCACAGTGTTTCTTGAAAAAAGTGGGTGAGCATTGTACATTGCTGATGAGGCAGGCAGTCCATGAAACACATAGTAATCCAAATCTGAGCACAACATAATCCCCAGAAAACCAAACAACTGTAAACGAAATCCACAGTCCAAAGAAAACTCTAAATGAAAGTAAACAATATCCACACTATATCCAAAGAAAAAACAGAAGATGGGAGACATGGAAGACGGAAACACTTGACAATGATGTACAAACAATCAGTCAAAGACCAAGGTGATTAGGCACAGGTGAAACGAATAAGCATATCAACAGGGAGGTCACGGACAGGAAATGAAGTGCAACAAGACTTAAGAGGTAGGGGTAAACCGGGGCAAAAGTAACAAGGCGATTTTCTCAGAGCCCTGACTGCGTTTGCAGTCCAAGCTGTGACAGCACCTTCAGCACGCAACCCTTGATGGTGCTGCCAAATATCGCATGATTTTGTCATCGTTTCCCGCGGCCGTCTTCGGAAAACTGTTTTCGAGCACGGCAAGTAAATTTCTGAAGCGGGACTCTTTTCGAATTACAAGTTGTGTCTCTTGTTTCATGTGTCACAGTAATGACTAATCTACAGGGTATTTAGTGCTTTAACACACCCTGAAGTTTGCCCTGTCAGAGTTTTTCAGTATAAAAATAAATCGTGTTTGTATGTCAGGAGTTCCTGTCGGAACTCACTTGTTACTTTCGTCCCGCTGCTAATGTGGTGACTTTCTCTGTGTTGCAGCATTTATTAAAACATGTTTATGTCATATTATACCAACAGAATATGCCAATAGTGTGGGTCAGAAAGACAGAGGTCTGATTCAGCCAGATGTTTATGAGAAGGCGCTTCTGGACATCTCTATTAGAAACATTAGTCTCAGGTCAGCTGATAAAGTCTCATGCCATATGCCATGCCCTTTGTTCAGATAATGCAGGAGGAGGGCAGAGATAATTGGGGAGAATACTAGACCACAGGTACAGATCACATTATTAAGTCTCCTCCTTGGACTAGGAGAGGAAGCTGCATGCTTATATTAAGAGAGCGGCTGATATTTATTTGGCCTGTCTCCTAAGGAGGTTAGTGTATTAGGTGTCAGTAAAAAGCACTCAAAATGCAGATCACTCATACTGTTCTTACTAAAACAAAATAAATTAATTTCAAAATGTGAAATTTTATAGACCTATTCTGTAAATAGCTTTTAAATTTTTATCTTAATTTTATTGTTTATTATCATTTTTGTCCTATCTCTCTAAATTATGTTTCATTTTTTCACTGTTTCTGAAACTGCTACAACATGCAAATATCCCCAGTGCAGGATCAGTAAAGTCTTATTTTATTTTAATCATGTTCATCAAACAATATCCATCTAACCATTTCCCCCCTGTTTTAGGTGCACACATTTGCATATTTATATTATATATTTATAAGATACCCTAAATATTCTAAACAATTCAAGTTTGGGCTGTCAGGTTACTTTTGAAAGATGAAGGACAAAAGATGTTTGCAGTTACACATTAACAAGGTCACAGTCATGTTGTTTTGTTGTGTTACTTTTGTCCCACCTGTGTGTTTATATATATATGTTTATATTATATGTTCATTATACGGAAGTCGTATACATTTGTACAAAATACCACCTGATATTGATAGACCACACCTGTGAGTTGGTGACCACAGCAAAAATATATCTCTGTCTGAAACATTATCTTTTAAAATCAGGTTTTTCTGAAAAATGGTACTTTCACCCCTGCTCTCCCCTACTACAGGAACAGGAACTAACCCAACAAAACCACAACAACTAGAGTCACAATTCACAAGTCCTTGACAAGTAAACCTACACATTGGTAATTTTTAGCGTTTAAAAAAATGAATGAAAAATGAATAATGCTGTCATTTTTTGTGCAAGAAAAAAAAGATCAGTCTGTTGTAATGTAAAAGTTGGATGCAACATAGCACATAGACTGAAATATGATCTGATGAAAAAAAGGACAACTGCTTGACAGTCTCTACTCACAGTAAGCTGCAGTAGGTCTCTTATGTCCTCTGGGATCCTGTGTTGATTTACCCTTTTAATTTTCACAGCACAACTTATGAACAAATACAAGGCATTAACATCTACCCAAATGAAATGTTCAGTTTAAACCTGGACTTACTATCTTGTTAAACAACAGGCTGCTAGGCTCCATGATGTTTTGTAAATACTATTAAAAAAAAAAACATAGTAGAGCAGACAGAGGAAGAGTGGACTGGATGACAAAATTTGAGTTTGAAGACAGAGCTTGAAAGGTCCCTTGCATTAGGCCTAATCTTATTCTACACCCAAGACAATTTACTCACAAAGCAGCCATAACAAAAATGGCATTAACATTACTTCTATTAAGGGACGGCAGACTAAAAAAAAAAATCTCTTTTTAGATGAGTGCCAACAGACTGGCAACATAATTACATTAAGTTCAGAGTGAAATTGCATCTTTAACATTTATAAATGTCAGCTTCTGTTAGCCGGTTGAAAGTACTGAGAAAAGTCTTAGAGGAGTGACAATAAAAAGTGCCATATTTGAACACAGAAATACACAAACACTCTTCTACCTTCAGACATATAACTATAATGACATAGATGTCGATTCACAATATACTGTACGTGCATGTAATAATATTCCCTCTAAAACTCACAAACCCACAAAGCTCAAATAAAAAATAGTCACTATTGAAATTCAGCCAACCAGTCAGGTTGCAATTTCTGATATCTGTTCAGACTCACACAATATACAGTTGCAAGAAAAAGTATGTAAACCCTTTGGAATCACCTGGATTTCTGTAGAAATTGGTCATAAAATGTGATCTGATCTTCATCTAAGTCACAACAATAGACAAACACAGTCTGCTTAAACGAATTAAGATTAAGATTAAGATCATTAAGATCAACTTTATTGTCCCCCGAGGGAAGTTTGTCTTTAGCATCAGTGCCGCATAAGGCTGCAGTAACAACAGTAACACATATGGACTTACACTCACATACATCAGACAGTCCGCACTATCCATTTACATTAGATTGCACAAGTATCTGAGACACTGCACCTGTCAATAATTGATTACAAGGTAAGTAGAACCTGAGTGATATGAAACCTCTGAATAATGATAACTGTTGATGTCAATGCACTTGAGCACATAAAGAAGTAAACAATATAACAAACACTAAAAACAAAAAAAGTACAACAAAACTCCGGTTGTTAAAAAAACACTAGTGCAAGTGATCAATCAATATTAAACTATGCTTAAAAATAAATAAAGTGCCTGAAGTGCTTCAAGCCATCTTGTTCAAAGCAGATGGTATTTTTAGGAGCGCTATGGAAGTAGGGATGAAGGACAGTTTATAGCAGTTACATTTACATCTGCTAGCTCTATAGCGTTTCCCTGAAGGTAATATTCATCATATTCAGAATGCAGAGTGCAGAATGTGGGAATGGTCCTTCAGAATTTTCTGTGCCTGGGAGACTACCATTTTTTTCAAAGATGGTCTGAAGGTAAGCGTTGTCTTTCTTTCCGATAAACTTCATTGCAGCTTTTATTAGTCTTTAAATTTTTGTTTTGTACTGGATGGTAAGGGTGCCAAACCAGGATGCCTTTCCATATCTGATCAGACTTTCCAGCACAGCGTTGTAAAATACAGTCAGGATCTTAGAACTTACCCGAATCAGTCTCAATCTGAGAAGAAAACGCAGTATTTGGGCACGTTTGGCACACTAATACTCGACATGCATATTTCCTTTTAATTGGTTATTTAATTGTGTACCCAAGTACTTATATGAAGTTTCTTGCTCGATTTCTCTGTCCCCAATGACTACCTCGTCGTGGGCTCTCACTTCCCTGGGATCAAATATCATCACTTTTGTTTTCACTTTATTAAGGATGAGATGATTCCTCACACACCAAGCCTACATGAAATAAACTTGAAATAATTGTGTCATCAGAGAATTTTATGACATAGTTGTTGAACTCACTACTTCTACGCTCATTAGTACAAAGTGTGAGTAGAAAGCTGACAGCTCCTTGAGGTACCCCTGTACTACAATATTTCGCCTTAGAGAGTGTAGTATTTACCTTCACTTGTTGTGACCTGTTTGTTAAAATAGAGTAAAACCATTTGATAATTACAGGATTAACTTTCATGTCCACACAAATAATTATATGTTTTTATGCTTTTACTGAACACACAGTGTAAACATTCACAGTGCAGGACGAAAAAATTATGTGAACCCTTGGAACTGGTTGACCCTCCTTTGGCAGCAATAACCTCAACCAAATGTTTCCTGT